TGCATCTAGATGGCAGCTTGCTAGCTTTTAAGATCCCAGTCGCTACTTTGCTTGCAAGCTTTTAAGATCCCAGTCACTACTTGCCAATGTAGGAGGTGAAACAATGTTTTGTGTAGTATGTTATGCCAATTGAGCTTGATGTCCCCTGTGACTATGGTCCTGAGCCCACAGGTTCAACTACTCAGTCCCTCTGGCAGCTGGCTGTGACCAAGAAGTGACTACAACCTCGTCCCTTGTCAGCTCTACTATACATCTGGGAATTCTGATCATACATATACACTTATAGGACCACTGTCTGCCAACCCTATACGTGGTCTTGTCTACACTCACTACTTCATAGACATACCTAATAGTTCAGCCTGTCCACCCATCTATCCACCCATATATCCATGTTTGCCTTCATTGCCAATGCAGTACTGTATGTGCAAAAGGGCTCATCTTTGTTGTCTGTACCTCCCATGTACCTCTCTATGTCTTCCTCTTCCTTGATGCCCCCATGTTGAGCACTCATATTTGGTACATTGCCGTGGCTGTAAATTTTTATGGAAGCAAAATGCCTCATCTTTCTCTGTGTAGTACCTGGTGGGCTCTAACTGCCAACCTTTTGATTAGCAGCCTAATCCTTTAAGTACTCTACCACTAGAGCCTACTTGATAAAATTTATTTGTGACTCCAGGGCAGTGTTTGCAGAGGGACACAGCTTGGGGGCAGGAGTGCATGGGAGGGAAGGACACAGGGAAGAGGTAACTACAGGAGGAAGTGGCAAGAGAGCTGTTACATTGTGGGAAATTGCAGTCAATGTCATAAGACAAAATGTGTATAGACTGCTGTATGGAAAATGAATTTGCTCTGTAAACTTTCACCCAAATCACAATAAACATTAAAATAATAATAATACAATGTATTTGTGACTCCAGAATGAATGCTTATGGCCCTTCCCTGGTCATTCATGAACACGCACAGAGTGATGGGGAATTTGAGTCGCCTGATGTGCACGTTTTCAGCTGAGGTTGAACAAGGCCCATCTACTTTAGCTCTTGTACTGTAAACAGCTGTCCATTTTCAGGTCTGTTTAGTGCCATGTTTTTATTCATTTTTAGTGCTGAAGTGCTGTCTGGTGTTCCTAAATGCAGAAAAGCTGTGATATGTCTTACAGAGAAAGTTTGTATGTTAGATAAGCTTTTTTTTTCAGGCACAGAATTATAGTGCTGTTGGCTATGAGTTCAGTGTTAATGAATCAATAATGTATATTAAATGTGTCTTTAAACAGAACTAGGAGGTATGGTGGAGTAGTGCCTAAGGTATTTGACTGCTAACCAGAAGGCTGGCAGTTCAAACCTGCCAGCCACTCCTCGGAAAGAAAGTTGGGCAATCTACTTCTATAGAGATACCACCTGGGAAACCCAAGTCAACTATGAGTCGGAAACATTTTTATGATTTTGGGTTTTGTTCTACATTTTTCTAATTCTACATTTTTCTCCCATTCTGTTCAGGACCTTTTGTTGTCCTAATCAGAGCAGTCAGTAGTGGTAGCTGGGCACCATTTAGTTCTTCTGGTCTCCAGGTGATAGAGGTTGTGGTTTATGTGGTGCATTGGTCCTCTGCACTAATTGTTTCCTTGAGTCCCTGATTTTCTTCACTCTTCTTTCCTCTAGACAGAGAGACCAATAGTTGCATCTTACATGGCAGCTCACTAGCTTTGAAGACTCATTGGCAGTTGCTACTCACCACCAGCAGGATGTAGAAAATCATTCTTGTGAACTATGTTATGCCAATTGACTTAACTGTTGCCTGAGACAGTACATTAAGCCCATAACACTATTCTTGACATTTGGTCTTTTGTGCTTCAAATGGCCAGATATTTTTGTGAACCTCAGGAATCTCTTGTGTGTGTGTGTGTCTACACACACACACATATGTACAAATATCTGTGCATATAAGTGCACATAATATGCATGTATACACACATATATATGTACACACATATATAATACATGTGTGTGGGTAAATATATATATATATATATATATATATATATATATTTTGCCTACCCATATCCATCTACCTATGTATCCACTCATAGATTAGTGTTTGCTATTATTGATAATGCAGTATTGTGTCTGCGATAGTATTTGCCTTTATTGTCTGTATGTATCTCTTTTGTCCCTCTCTGTGTCTTCCTTTTCCTTAGTGATATTGTGCTAGTCACACACTTTTGTTATATTGCTTTTCTTTTCATCCATATCAAACCTGTCTCTTAATTATCCATACATTTTTCCCTCCTTTCCCCTCTCCTCCCATCCCAGGTAACCAACAGAGAAAATTTTCTTCCCTGTGTAAACCTTCCCTTGACTTTTTACAATAATGGACTCATATAATATTTGTCCTTCTGTGATTGACTTGTTTCACTCACCATAATGTCCTCCAAGTTCATCTAGGTTGTGAGGTGATGTGATATGTATCTTTTGTATATTTGACCATATAAAGTGGGTTATTTTTAAATAGTATAAATATTGAGAATAAGGGGATGTAAATCGGAGGCAGCCTGTTTCGAAAAGATGGTGTTATTCTTTTACAATAAATGTTGTGCATGGATTTTATAAACTTATTCTAGTTGTTAAAAACAAGAAAAAGACAGCCCAGTAGACAGGCTCACCCTCCTCCTGTGCTGCAGACCATCTACAACGCCATCACCAATAACACCCCCTGCGTGATCGTGGAGGGCTCGGGCCGTGTGGCTGACGTCATTGCCCAGGTGGCCAACCTGCGCATTTCTGAGATCACCATTTCCTTGATCCAAAAGAAACTGAGCATGTTCTTCCAGGAAACAGAGACCTTCACAGAAAGCAGAATCGTGGAATGGACCAAAAAGGTAAGGCAGACAGGCATGCCAGTCACCAGGTATGTAGTAATCAGGATCAGAACATGTAGGACCAGGGGCCAAGTGTACCCAGTGGCTCTGGGGTGGCATGGGCATGATGTGTAGGGGCGTGAGGTTTGGGGACAGCAGAAAGCTTGGTGCATTGGGCTCATGAGGTCACTCTCCCCTCAACATTGAACACTGAGCTTCATGTGGAACCCTCAGAATCTCAGGTTTGGACCTTCCTGTTCCCAGTTCACTCCTCTCTGACCCAGGGAGTTCACCACTGTTACAGCTAAACAGGCAGAGTACCCAACATTCCAGTCATTTTGCTTTTGAATGAATTGACAGCTTGCTCTTTTATACCAACAGTGGGTGGTACGAAGGCTTAAAGAAGGGTGAGGATGTTACAAGGACCCTTGACAGACAGGCCCTATGGTAGAGCAGGCAGGGACTCAACACTGGAATATAAAGAGTTTGTCTCAGAGATACCTGGGGCATCTCCCTAATCTGGAGTTGGATTTTGAGGGAGGATGGGGTTGGGGAGTGGCTTGACGAGATGTGCAGAGGGGCCTTGGCCACCGAGCACAACTCTAGCATCAAGATAGGGATGGTGGAAAGGTGTGTGGCTGGATCCCCCCTGAGCCCTTGCCCAGCCAGGGTGAGCTTGTGGGACCACCTGCTGATGCCTGTGGTCCTGCAGACCCTGCTGTCTCTGGCCAAGCTCCAGACTGCAGGGCTGGGCTCATCTGTTCCAAGGCCACCAGTGCCAAAATAGATAGATAGATAAGGTATGGATGATAGAGACATAGATAATAGATAAGATATAGATAGAAAGATAGGTATAGATAATAGATTTCTAAAGATAGATAGATAAGATATATATATATATATATATATATATATATATATATATATATATATATATATATATATATATATATATATTAAAAAGTCCAATGGCCTTCAATCAATTCTGACTCAAGGTAACACTGTGTATAACAGAGTAGAAGTGTGCTTCATAGGGTTTTCTTGGATGTAATCTTAATGGAAGCAGATCACCAGGCCGTTCCTCCATGGCACTGCTGGGTGGGTTCAGACTGCCAAACTTTAGCTTGACAGTTGAGTGCAAACTGCTCCACCCAGGGACCCCTGAGATATAGAGATAAACAGATAGAGAGGTAGGTAGGTAGGTAGGTAGATAGATTGTTGCTAATCGAGTTCTGAAATAATAACTAGAAAGTCAGTTGTGGTTCAGAGAGTAATTTAATAAGAGGATAGTAACCTTGCAAGGTGGAGACACACAGGGCCAGAAGCAATGCAAAGTCTCTCTCTGAACTTTACAGGCTAAGAGTTTTTATAATGATTTTTGGCCTGTGAGATATGTCATTTCGAAAATCTTACACAGGGAGGTTACTCATAAAACCTTGACCTTTTTGCAAGTCAGGGAAGTGAAACAAAACTGTAGGACTATGATATTCTTCTTGTGATAAACCTCAGCTTTCTTCAGCTAGGTATATGAATGGAGTCTGTGTTCTTCAAGATGGATGCTGGGTTGAATCTTTAGTTCCCACTTTAGATCCATTGTTGTAGGTGGTCCATGAAAACTCGAAGGCTGGTTACTGCTCACCCCACACACCCACTGCCATCGAGTCAGATCCGATTCATAATGACCCCTCCTTAGGTTTCCGAGGCGGTATCACTATGGGGAAGTAGATTGACCACTTTCCTGCTGACTGCAGGCAAAACTCCAAAACCAAACTCACTGCTGTTGAGTCGGATCTAAGTCAAAGTGACCCCTCCTTGGGTTTCTGAGGCAGTATCACTAAGGAAATAGATTGCCCCATCTTCTTTCTGAGGAGTGGCTGGTGGCTTTGAACTGCCAGCCTTCTGGTTAGCAGTCAAATGCTTTAGGCACCATGCTACCAGAGCTCCCAGGCAGTGGGCTGCAAAACATCTTAAAAATAGTTTTATTATCAGGAAGTGCCATCCAAGTTAGGTCCCTTTCTGGTCCCATGATTTTCAGAATGCAGTCATTCTGTCTGTGAACTATTTCTGTCTTGGTCTATGTGTTTAGTCTATGTGGAAACAAGTTTAACTAATATTATACTATTAATATTAGTGAAATTGAGCAAAGTTAGTGTAAAGTGTAAAATAAATGTCATCCTTGCAATAAATGTTCTTCCAAGGTACTATCTTCATTACTATAAGACAGATAGATAGATGGATGTAGACAAGAGATAGTCTGATAATAAACAGACAGACAGGATCTCTGTTTCCTGGGAGGATTCTTTGAAAGGGTGATCAGTTCTTCTCTGATCCTTGGTTTCCCCAACAATAAATTGGGGTTCCAAAGCTATTGGTTTCTTCTCTTTGAAAATAAACAAGGCTGTCAAAAGCACCTGCAAATTAGGATACACAGGTTTAACTGACTAATGTGTGCTATTCTGGGTAAGTCTGTAGAGCAGCATTAGTTCAGCCTGTGTTATCCATGTCACCCAGCCAAAGACTGCAGGACCACAGCTGTAGTTGACCAAGACGGGTTTAGGACTTGTTGAGTGAAGGAGACCACGCAACATGGGGAACCAGGGCATCTGGAAGGGGGTGTTAAAAAGATCTTGTAGGATTGGGGCTTTGCTTGGGTAATTGGGGCAGAGTCAAAGGGAGCAAGGTTTGCTCTAGGTTGGAAAGTGGGTCATTTCTGTGATTGGGTGTTTTGTAGGGGCAGAGGGGCCTTGTGTTTAATCTGTGTCTTATGGTCTCAGACTGACTTCATTAGGTACAGATGTTCTTTGAGATGCTTTGTGTCTAACAGGAGAACAATATGATTTAATCATGAGTGTCAGCTCAGTTTGTAAACACTGAGGTCTAGCGTGAATGTCAGCTCAGCTCTAGACGTCAGGGCGGCTGTTCTTCCTTGGAGCATTGGGAACTGAGTCAGTGTATAAAATATTCAGGCAGTTCTCAGAACTGAATTTAGCCTACTGTGTCCAAAGATGCTTTTTTTTTTTTTTTTTAACCCACAAGTCATCTTATGACCTAATGGCTCTGGAGATGATGGTTCATGCATATTACTTTTATGCCTTATGAGGGATCATCAAAACCAAACCAAATCCACTGCCATTGAGTCAATTCTGACTCATAGCAACCCTCACTGGGTTTCCAATGCTATAAATCTTTATAGAAATAGATTGCCTCATCTTCCTCCCACAGAGCAGCTGGTGGGTTTGAACTATCGACCTTCTTCTGGTTAGCCTTACCCACTATGCCACCAGAGCTCATGCAGCATTTACCTTTTCAGTGGGAGGGGCCCTAGCTATGCAGTCATTTTTAATTAATTAATTCAGCACACCTTTTCAGAGTCTAGGCCTGCACCAGGTTCCACGGAGGGTGGGGATGAACAGAAAACAGCTGTTGTTTTCGGTTGCTTGGGGTCCCACCAACCCTGCTGACATCAGCTATGTGGAGTCTCATGGCTGGAACTGGACACCAACACTTAGTTGCTGTGTAGCCCTGGGGAGAGTGATTCGTCTCTCCAAGCATTGGTTTTCTTACCTGTAAAATATTAGTACTTAAACTCAGAGAGTGAAACAAGATCCTTTGTGTAAATGCTTAGTATTGAATTTTGGACATTAGTTCTCAATAAAGGTAGCTACTTTATTATATAAATTAAATTCTGGGCTAAATTTAGGAGGTGAAGGTGGGTTTGCAGACTGGATAAGGGTGATGGGACAGGAGTGGGGCTGGGGAGAAATCCAGGAAGTACTTTGGAGTTAATATGAAGCCAGTGCCTGAGGGATGGGAATGGTTGGACTTTCAGGGTTGGAGGTGGGACATGTGAGGGCACCCTCTAGGTGTGGGGCATGGGCAGGACAGCCCAGCAGAGGTGAGTGAGGCATGGTTATAGGGCTGGGGAGAGGAGGCTGGAAAGGGAAGATCAGGCTGTGTATGGAGGCAGGACCAGGGGAAGAAGTGTAAGGGCTGGTTGGGGATCAGTGATCAGGGAGTTCCTGGCAATTTTTAGGAGGGAAATGTGTGGTAAGGTGCATTTGTGGAAAGACCACCCTGGCCACAGGTTGAAGGGGTTTTAGAGAGGAGTGACTGATAGCAGCAAATCAGCTAGGAGATATCAAGATAGATAGATGATAGATGGATAGTTAGATTAGATAGGTAGGTAGGTAGATGATGTTGTTGTTAGGTGCCGTCGAGTCAACTGCAACCATAGTGACTCTATGTACAATAGAATGAAACACTGTCTCACAGTCCTTGCTATATCTGAGCTCATGGTTGATAGATTGATGATGAAGAGATAGATGAATAATAGATGCATAGATAGGTGAGTTAAAGATAGGTAGATAGATAGAGATAGGCAGGTATGTAGGTAGGGTATGGAGGCAGGTAGGCAGGTAGGTAGGTATGATTGGGAAGTAGGGTATGGGGAAGGTAGGGTAGGGTGGGAGGGTATTGACGTAGGGTGTAGGGGTAGGGTAGGTAGGGAGGTAGATAGGATAGAGAGGGAGGTAGGCAGGCAGATAGGTAGGTAGGCAGGTGGGTGAGAAATAGTCTGGCTCTGGGGGAGGCCCAGGAGAAGCATCCTTGCTTTAATGATCTAAGAACCCAGCTCCAACTCACCACTGAGTGAGTCTCCCATCTTCTACATCAAGGCTTGGGAGGCAGAGGATGGGCCTGCTACATGGAGCAGACAAAATACTGGCTCTGTGTTCCCATGCCTCAGTTTCCTCTGTATTCTGGGAGGAAGCAGGAAGCTCACTGTCACTGTGTATCTCATGTGGGCATGTTTGGTTGCAGATCCAAGACATTGTCCGGAGCAGGCAGCTGCTGACCATCTTCCGGGAGGGCAAGGACGGCCAGCAGGATGTGGACGTGGCCATTCTGCAGGCTCTACTGAAGGGTGAAGACTGAGGAGGGATTGGGAGGGGTAGTAGGAGAGGGGCTCAGGCTAGTCCGGAGGTGCCACAATTTTGGGAGACAAAACATAGTCCTTTGGTCTTTTTATTCCTAACAAAGCTGGAGGTGGGAGTCATGGTCAGAAGGTGGCTGGTGGTGGATACACCAGGGTCCATCTCTCCTACTGGGTAGCAGGTGCTCTTTCCCTGATGTTTGGGGCACATGCCCCTTCTTCAGCACATCTCCTTGACTGAAATCAGTTGTTGTTGTTGGCTGCCATCGAGTCTGGCCCCTGACTCGGGGCAACTACATGCCAAATGGAACAAAATGCTGACCAGTCCTGTGTCATTGGCGTGATCAGTTGCAAATAGGACCATTGTGATACACAGGGTTTTCACTGGCTGATTTTTGGAAGTTACCAGGTCTTTCTTCCTAGTGTGTCTGGAAGCTCCACTGAAACCTGTTCAACAACATAGCAACACACAAATGTCCACTAACAGATGGGTGGTGGCTGTGCAGGAGGTGCACTGACTGGGAATTGAACCCAGGCCTCTTGCATGGAAGGCAAGAATTCTATCATTGAACCACCAATGCTTCTCTGCTTTTATTTTTTCTTAAAGATGTCTTTTGAAGGAGCTCTGGTGGTACAGTGGTTAAGGCATTTGGCTGGTTAACCAAGAGGTCAATGGTTCAAACCCCTAGCTGCTCTGTGGGAGAAAGATGAGGCAATCTGCTTCCATAAAAGATTTATAGCCTTGGGAGTCCAATGAGGGTCACTATGCATTGGAACTGACTCATTGGCAATAAGTTAGGGTTTTGGTTTGAAAGATGTCTTTTGAAGAGCAAAAATTTTAAATTTTAGCAAAGTTTAATTTATCAATTTTTTCTTCTATGGCTACATTGTTTGAATTCTCCCTAAGAAATCTGTGCCTAGTCCAAAGTTGCAAATATTTTCTTCTGTGTTTTACAGTAGATGATTTATAGAAATGGCTCTTAACATTTAGATGTATGATCTCCTTAGATTAATTTTTTGTGTGGTGTGGGGTAGAGGGTCAAAGTTCTTTTTTTTTTCTTCCTCAAACAATAACCCGTGTTTTAATATGTTAAACTAAAGAGAGAGAACAGACTATGTGAGAAAAATACTTGTGTTGAGACCCTGGGTGAAGTGATGGTTGACTGAGGCTTCATTGTAGTCAGGTCCAGAGAGGAAGCATGAAAATTGGTATTGTTCTAATTTTTTATGTCAATTTAAAAATGCCTACCAAAACTCCCAGAGACCTACTTTAATGCATGGCTCTTTTCTCTCCCACTGGTGACTTAGGAGTGGTAGGCACAGCTGGGAGGCGAGTGGTAGGTATGGAACCAGGGATGAGCTGAGAGGATGATTGAAATCCAAAGATTCTTTGATTCTCTTTTCCTGCTGACACAAAGGGTCCTTTTTAAAGGTGTGTGGATGTGGGAGGATTTTGTAATTGACCACTGCTTTTATCCCCTTAAAATTATTGGGGATTGAGGTTGATGACAAATCCCTAGCCTTTTGAGCCTGGAAAGCATCAGGTACTGAGGAAATAGTTTTGAGACCAAGGCTGAAGACCCTCTAATGCATACTTTTGCCTGCAGCCTCTCGAGCCCATGACCACTTTGGCCATGAGAACTGGGATCACCAGCTGAAGCTGGCCGTGGCATGGAACCGTGTGGACATTGCACGGAGTGAGATCTTCACTGATGAGCAACAGTGGAAGGTAAGGTTCTCTGGCTACCTGAAAGGGCACTGCTGGCCCCATGGGCATGTCTTGGGAGCAAGGGTAGGCCCTAGAGAGCACCTGCATCTAGGTCTCGGCCCTCCCCTCCCTTGGTGTGGGGTGACTTGGGCTAGTTTCATTCTTGTAAAATGGAGGCAGTAGTAGCCTTCATCTCTTGGGTCTTTGAGAGGATATGAGAGGCTAAATGCAATCCCCACCCCCCCTTCTGATACCCTCTCTCAGCCTTCAGATCTGTACCCCATGATGACGGCCGCCCTCATCTCCAACAAGCCCGACTTTGTGAAGCTGTTCCTGGAGAACGGGGTGCAGCTAAAGGAGTTTGTCACCTGGGACACCCTGCTCTGCCTTTACAAGAACCTGGCACCCTCCTGCCTGTTCCACTACAAACTCCAGAAGATGCTGGCTGAGGAGCCTGAGTACCTGGCTTATGGTACTACCATGCCCCGCCTGCAGATGCACCACGTGGCGCAGGTGCTGCGAGAGCTGCTGGGAGATTTCACGCAGCTGCTCTACCCCCGGCCCCGGCATAGGCGGCCACTCACCAACCTCAAAGTGCGTGCTGATGACATCCTTCTGTGTCAACCCTCCTTCTCTCCCTCCCTCCCTCCCTCCCTCCATCCACCCACTTATTTACCCATCTGTCTATTTATTTATTTATTTATTTATTTATTTTGTGTTAGCTACTGTTAAGTTGGACCCTAACTTATGGCAACCCCATGCACAATGGAATGAAATGTTACCTGATCCTATACCATCCTCATGAATGGTTATGGATTGGACCATTGTCATCCATAGGGTTTTTATAGGTCGAAGTTGGAAGTAGATCTCCTGGCTTTTTTCCTAGTCTGCTTAGCTTTGCTGAAACCTGTTTAGCATCATAACAGCACACTAGCCTCCAATGACAAACAGGTGGGGCTGTGCGTGAGGTGTATTGACTGGGAATAGGACCTGGGTCTCCCACATGGAAGGTGAGAATTCTACTACTATACCACCACTGCCCACAGATAGGCTTAAGTTTACAGAAAAATTATGCACAAAGTACAGATAGTTCCCATATAGCGCCTTCCTGCCCCTGTACACAGTTTGCCCTGTTATTATCTTGCATTTGTGTGGTATGTTTGTCACAATTAATGAACCAATATTGTTACATTATTATGAGTAAAGCCTACAATTCACATGAGAGTTCACTCTGTGTTGTATAGTCCTACATTTGGCAAATGCATAATGTTGTTTATTCACCAATATAGTAAAATACAGAACAGTTTCACTGTCCCAAAATGCCCTGTGCACATTAAAAAAAAAAAAACAAGCTTTATATATTTTTTTTTAATTAGAAAAGAAATATGCTCCCTTTTCTAAAAATAAAAATTCAAACACTACAAAGGCTCTGAGGGAGAATGTCCTCCTTTGCACCCTGTACCGCTAGTACTGTTCACTAGATGTTATTGACTCTGTGGTCAGGTGAAGGATATTCCATTGCATTTGTGAGGTGCACAGTTCATGATTGAGCAATAGGGGGAAAGTGGATGTTCTGGTCTGGATCCTTATTTAGTGGGAAACTGCTGGTGTCTGTCTCACTGTTCGATATAGTGCTGGCCTTGTACATGTATTTATGTTATCCATCTTTTTCTGATTCATGAGGTTTTTCCTTCCGTTTTATTGGCATTTTTTTTTTACAAACAGTTTTATTGATATGTAATCCACATTCTATATAATTCACCTATTTAAAGTGTACAATCCCATGTTTTTTTATTATATTCACAGATGTTTGCAACTGTCTTCACAGTCAATTTTGGGACATTTTCATCACCTCAAAAAGAAACCCTTAGGAACATAAAATGGTGTAGTTGCTGTGCAAAACTGGTGGTTCCTTGAAAAGTTAAACATAGGATTGTTACCAATGAAACCAGCAATTCTACTCCTAGGTATAGACCCAAAAGGATTGAAACCAAGGACTCCAACAGATACTTGTATACCAGTGGTCATTGCAGCACTGTTCATAATAGCTCAAAGTAGAAACAACCTAATTCTTCATCAGCAGATGAATGGATAAGCAGATTGTTGTGTACATCCATGCAGTGGAATATCATTCAGTGATAAAAAGATGAAATTCTGGTGCTGCAATATGGATGAACCTTTAAAATGTTAGGCTTAGTGTAATAAGTCAGACACAAAAGGACAAATATTGTATGATCCAAGTGGGATCATACAAATATCTAGAATAGTCATATGAAATAGTCATGTGAAATATCTAGAATAGTCAAATGCATGGAGACCAAAGCTTATTAACTCCAAAGTTACTATTACTCCAGTATCTGGAGTGCAGAGTTTCTGTCTAGGGGATGAAAAGCTTTTGGAAATGAATGGTGGTGATGGTAGCACAGCATGGTGATTGAGGTTGATGTCACTGCATTGTACACTTGTTGTTGTTGTTAGGTGCCATTGAGTTGTCTCCAACTCATAGCAGCCCTATGTATAGTAGAATGAAACACTGCCCGGTCCTGTGCCAACCTCACAATCCCTACTATACCCGATTCCATTGTTGCAGTCACTGTGTCAATCCATCTTGCTGAAGGCCTTCCCCTCCTTCATCGACCCTCCCACCTTACCAAGCATGACATCCTTCTCCAGAGAACAGTCCCTTCTGACAACATGACCGAAGTAGATTAGACAAAGTCTGACCATTCTCACTTCCAAGGAGCATTCCAGCTGCACTTCTGGGATAGACTTGTTAGTTCTTTTAGCAGTCCGTGCTACTTTCAGCATTTTTGCCAGCACCACAACTCAAAAGCATCAGTTTTCCTTTGGTCTTCCTTATTCATTTTCCAGCTCTCACATGCATATGAGGTGATTGAAAATACCATGGCATGGGTCAGGCACATCTTAGTCTTCAAGGAGACATCTTTGCTCTTCAGCACTCGAAAGAGGTCTTTTGCAACAGATTTGCCCAATGCAATACATCTTTTGATGTCTCAACTGCTGCTTCCATTGGTGTTAATTGTAGAACCAAGCAAAATGAAGTCTTTGACAACTTCAATCTTTTCTCCATCTATTGTGATGCTGCTTATAGGTCCAGTTGTGAGGATTTTTGTTTTCTTTATATTGAGGTGTAATCTATACTGTAGACTGCAATCTTTAATTTTCATCAGTAAGTGCTCCAAGTCATCCTCACTTTCAGCAAGCAAAGTTGTGTCACCTGTGTATCTCAGGTTGTTAATGAGCCTTTCCTCAATCCTGACCCCACATTCTTCTTCATATAGTCCAGCTTCTCAGATTATTTGCTGGATAGAATAGTCAGATACACCATACATTGAACAAGTGTTGTGAAAGCATACAACCCTGATGCACTCCGTTCCTGATTTTAAATCATGCAGTATACCCTTGTTCTGTTCAAATGACAGCCTCTTCATCTATGTACAGTTCCCCATGAGTACAATTAAGTGTTCTGGAATTCTTATTCTTCTCAATGTTATCTACAATTTGTTATGATCCACACAATCTAATGTTTTTGCATAGTCAATAAAACACAAGTAAACATCTCTCTGGTATTCTTTGCTTTGAGCCGAAATCCATCTGACATTAGCTATGATATTTCTCACTCCATGTCCCCTTCTGAATCCAGTTTGAATTTCTGGAAGTTATCTGTCTACCTACTGCTGCAACCGTTTTTGAATAATAATAAAAAGATAGGCTGGCCCTGAAAGATATGTGTTGAGTGGATAGCTCAACTCCAACAAAATCTTGAGTGCATCCCAGATCCTTCACATCCTTGTCCTTCTACAATTATGGAATGCCCAAGTCCCATCAAAGAAAGAAAGAAAAAAGTCTGTACCCTCTAGCTATCCCCCTATTCTCCCCTTCAGCCCTAAATGACCACTAAGCTACTTTCTATCTCTGTAGATTTCCTGTTTTGGAAATTTTGTGTCATTACATTTTATAAAATGAAGTGTCAGGGCTGAGTTTTATCAGATGACTTTGAGAAGATGGAACTACTTCTTTTCTGTGACCTATGAATATGATGAATTCATTCAATAGATTGCATGATGTTGAAACATGTTTTTATTCATGTTATAAATCTCTGCTTGATTGCAGTGTGATACTTGTTCATATGATGCTGGCTTCTGGTGAAAATATTTTTAGGTTTTAGCATCAGAATGTTTTGGCCTTTGGTTGTAGTTTTACTTTGTCAAGCATTAGCTTTGTACAAACCATTTGTAAGATTTTCATCTTTCTCTACTCTAGAATGGTTTGTTGTTGTTGTTGGATGCCACCAAGGTGATTTTGATTCATAGTAACCCTATCCCATAGGGTTTTCTTGGGTGTAATCTTAAGAGAAACAGATCGCCAGGTCTTTCTCCCATGGAGCTCCTAGATGGGTCTGAACAGTCAACCTTTCATTTAGCAGCTGAGTGCTTAACTGTTGTGCCATCAGACGTCTTAAAACACTTGCCATTGATTTGATTCTGACTCATGGTGGCCCCATGTGTTTCAGAGTAGAATTGTGCTCCATAGCGTTTTCCATGGCTGCCATCTTTTAGAAGTAGATTACCAGACCTTTCTTCTGAGCTGCCTCTGGGTGGGTTTGAACCATCAACTGTTCTGTTAGGAGCTTAACTGTTTGTACTGCCCAGGGACTTCAGAATGGTTTAAATGGCTGGAATTAACTTCTTACAAGCTTGGTAGATTCCTCTATGAAACAATGGGGGCCTGGCACTTTTTTGGGGACTGGTTCTGATAATTTCCTCAGTTTCTTTCTTGATGGTTTCTCTGTAATGATTTTTTTATGTCTTTTAAGATCAGATTTGCTTTTTTTTTTTTTTTTTTCTGCTAAAAGATTATCTATTTTATCCAGGTTTTCAAATTTGTCCCATGGGAAGCTGCCCACTGGCTGCCTTGATACCTGACCCCTGAGAAAGATGGATTGAGGCTCAGTGTTATATACTCATAGCTCTCCTTTTCTTGGTTCCATTGTGTTTACAAATATCCCAGTTGGAATGTGCTTAAGATCAAAATCAGAATCTTGTTCACACTTAATCTTATCTGTGTAATGTAAGAAGGTGAACGAACTACTTTCTTTAATAAGCCTTCAAGAAATTTCTAAAATCACTTTAAGAAAGTGTGAGTATATGTAATATAGGAATATGTACACCACCTATGGGGATCCTTCCCCGAGTACATGTTTAGTCACTGATTAGCCAGGAAATCTAGGTTCTCATGCTTTGGTACAAATGGTGAGTGTGTTTGGCTGGTAATCAAAAGACTGGATGCTCAAGTCCACTCAGAGACACCTTGTCTTAGGCTGGGTTCTTTAGGGAAACAAAGCCAGTGAGGATTGTGTGTGTGTGTGTGAGTGTGTGTGTAGAGAGAGAGAGATAAAGAGAGAGATTTATCTCACTCTCACTGATGTAGAGTCAGGCAAGTCCCAAGTCCATGGGTCAGACATCAGGCTGGAGGCTTCTCCTGACTCACGTAGTTGTAGCAGCTAACAAATCCAAAAATCCAAGATCAGGCAGATTGGATGGCAGGCTGCTAACTCAGAGGGTGTGGAGGCTAACAACTTCTAAGATCAGCAGGCAATATGGCAGGTTGCTGGCTCAAGTCCAAAGAGCTGGAGGTCTGTTGGTGAAGTGCTGGATATAGGATCCAGAGCAAGCAAAAAAGCCCCAGAGCTCTGCCACAATGGCCATGTATATTGGATGCAGGCCACACCTCCGAGGAAACTCCCTTTCAACTGATTAGCTGCTCATAGCAGATCTTATCATGGAGGTGATCAGAAAATGGGAAATGACTACATCATTATGTAACTGCTAATCTACATCATAACTGTCAAACCAGTGGGAATCATGGCCCAGCTAAGTTGAAACACAACCTTAACCATAACACATCTCCAAAGAAAGCCCTGGTGATCTACTTCCAAATATCATACATTGCAATCCCTATGGAGTACCCTTTTATTCTGACACATAAGAGGTCAACTTGAGTCAGCGTCAATGCTATAACAATTTTTATTTTTAAAATAATTTTAAACTGGTATATAGTATCATCTGATGCTGCTAATAATGCAGTCCTAGGGCTAGGCCTCAGGGGCAGGGATTTGGAAGGTGTGGGGCTGGGCTCAGGGTCTGCATTTCCAACAGCCTCCTGGGGGTTCTGGTGCGAGTGGCGCAAACGAGCTCTGATGTCTGCACTTTACCAGGTACAGGGAGTGAGTCTCTGGTCCATCTACAAGAAATCATCAGGGCATGTCACCTTCACCATGGATCCTGTCCGTGACCTGCTCATTTGGGCTGTCATCCAGAACCGCCAGAAGTTGGCAGAAATCATCTGGGCTCAGGTATCAAGATCTGCTTCTCTGCAGACTTGGCTCTGGGTAGACTGGTGTGGGAGGTGTGGCAGACACCCAGCATCATCAGTTGGTGAAAGTGGCTCATGGCCTTGGCAGAGTGCAGAGGGTGTCCTCAAAGCCTAGGAAGGACACAGCATGCCAGAAGTTGAAGAATGAGGAACTTAGGTCTAGGAAGGAAAAGAATGAAAAAAGAGGAAGTCTGCCAAACAGTGTTCCTCTGGTTGAGTCTAGGCCTGACTTGCTTGGGAGCCATGGGCCAGTGGCGTGTCCACCCCAGTCCATGCTGTTCTAGTGGGTCTGTTCATGCTGTGGTTAGCCTGCCAACAGGCCAACAAACCCACCACCAGAGAGGACTCTCTGTGAATTCACCTACTTGCTAAAATGTATTTGTGACCCCAAAGTCAATACTCAAGGCACTTCCATGGTCTCTTGTGGACATGCACATAGTGACAAAAAATTTGGGCTGCTTATGTTCCCAGCTGAAATGGAAGAAGGCCATGCTCTGACTTCTTGTTTTTGCTCTCATACTGCAAACAAGGAACCTTTCCACAGTCTATTTATTGCCATGTTTTTTGTTTTTGTTTTTGCATTTTTGTGCATTTTGTTGGTGATTTCACTGTTTAAAATGGTTCAGCTTAGTGCTGAAGTGCTGCCTACTGTTCTTAGGTGCAAGAGAGCTGTGATATGTCTTAATTGTGAAAATATGTGTGTTAGATAATCTTCACTCAGGCATGAGTTATAGTGCTGTTGGCTGGGAGTTCAGTGTAAATTAATCAACAATATATGTTAAGTAAGGTGTCTTTAAGCAGAAACACACAAAAAAGAAGGTTCTGTATCAATCAGTTCATGAAAATGTTGTGACCAGAAGATCTCTAATATAGTGATTGCAGCAGCCTTATAGGACAAAACTACCTCAGGTAATGAGAATCATTTGTACTTGTAGGTCCAAGTCATGTCTTTTTGTGGTTTTCCTTTAATTAAAGCCAATTCTCCTCCGAAAGAGAATGAAAAATTGTATAATTTTTTCTCAGAAAGAGGGCTCCTCCCTCATTTTATGTGTCAGTGTTTAGAAATCACTTTCAAGGGGCTGTCCCACTCTCCAGTGTCACTTTCAGGGAGATGGGATTTATAGGATCCTCCTTTTCCATGGTTCTTTGAGGTTGAGGACTCTCCCTAGCTCACAAAGTAGGTCAGCAGCAGAGTTGACCATGACTCCACCCCAAGCTTGCTTCTTTGTCTTCACTTTGCTGCCCATTTCAGGGGACAAGAAGGCCAAGAGTGGGAGTTCCGGCAAGATGGCAGACTAGGCAGAAAGACTGCACAGACCCTCTTCAACAAAGAAAAGGGAAA